GCCTCCCGAGAGACATGTTGGACGGGCCGATATCGTTTCGGCTCGAGCGCTTTGGAGAGAATAATTATCAATGGTAGCGTGAGCGGATGCGCCCCCAGCGCCGAGAGCGGCAGCCTGCGATAGAGCCGCGGCGGGCCAGGCCCGCGGAGGGCTCCGAGGCGCAGGCCAGAACACAGGCGGTGGAGGCGCCAGCCTCGTGGATCCAGACGAGGGCGAGAACGATTTCGAGGTGCTGTCTGAGAAGGACACGACCCAATTGTGGGTCTCACTGGCAGCGCGGCCGGTGAGGCTGGCCTTCCGGCGCTGTTAGGCGCACCTCGGACAGCATCTGTGTACGATCAAGAGACAGGGTCAAGATGGCAGCTACGGTCCAGGACGTCCAGGCGCTTCGACAGGCTCTCGAGCAAGTGCAGGGAGAGCTACGGCAAGCACGAGCGGACGCGGACGCCGCGAGTAGGGCGGCGCAGGAGGCTGCGCAGCGTGCGCAGCAGGTGCTCGGGCAGCAGGGTGCAGCCGCAGCGGCGGCGCAAGTGCCAGACCCTGGACCTGAGAGGATGGCCGCGGAGATGAAGATGATAGGCAAACCAGAGATGTTCGATGGGGCGAAGCCGCCATGGAGAGACTGGTTGGTGGTATTCGAGGCTTCGCAGGTGCGACGAACCCGAACATGGCGGCGGCGATGGCCAGAGCGAAACGAGAGGCATAACCAGTGTTGATGACGAACTTCGAGCCCGGAGACATGCAGTTGTCCAAAACGTTGGGGTACTGGCTCATCCAGACGTGCAGGAGCCAGTCGCTCGACGTAGTGCTGAATGCGGGCAAGCTCGAGGGATTCGAAGCCTGGCGACAATTGTGCCTTCGATTCGAACCTCAGGCGGCGAGCAGGTACGCTGGGCAGCCGATGACGCTGCTGGCCTGGGATTTCAGTGGTGAGATGATGATACGCCTGGAAGCCTTCGAGAGGGAGATCAGCCTGTGCGAGTCGGCGTCGGAGGAGACCCTCTCGGACGCGATCAAGGTTGGCGTCGTGCTGAGGCAGTTGCCCGAGTCCCCGCTGAGGCATCACATGATCATGAACGCGGAGAGACTCAAGGAGTGGCCCAAGTTCAGGGGAGAGATCCTGAATGTTCGACGAGCCCAGGCCGCAGCGGCGGCAGTGCAGAACGGAGTGGCCCCGATGGATCTCTCAGCGTTCAACAACCAGGGTGGCAAGGGGCGCTGCAGGATCTGCAAAGGCAAGGGCCACGACGAGAGGAACTGCTGGCACCGCAAGGGCGGAGCTGGAGCGGGCAAGGGCAAGTTGGACAACAAGGGCAAGTCGAGAGGCGACTCCAAGTCGAAGGGCTCCTCGAAGGGCGGAAGGGCAAAGGGCGGCAAGACCGGCAAGGGGCCGAAATGCTTCAACTGCCGGGAGCACGGGCACATGTCCAAGGACTGCCCGAAGAAGAAGAACAACCTGCACATGATGGAGCCGGAACCCGAGAAGGCGCTGCGCGGGCTGCGGCTCGCGCCGTTCACGATCGACGAGAAGGGCGTGGCGCAGACGGCCTTCGACCTGCTGATCGAGGGCGGCCTGGTGGACGACAAGCTGGTGCACGAGCTGAGCAGGCTCGGTGCGGAGACGGCGCGGGCATCCCGCAAGATGGTGCTCGGCGTCGATTCGTGCGCAGCTACGACGGTCGTGCCATCAGAGCTAGCTCCGGACAACCCGACGTAAGAGAATGACATGAGTGCGAAGGGTGAAGGCTACAGGACCGCGAACGGCGGCTGGGTGGCCGACGAGGGCACTAAGGAGCTCATCGGGTCGGTGCGCAACTCGGACGGCTCGGCGCAGGTGAGAGGCTCAAAGCTAGGGTCGCGAAGGTCAGCAAGGCACTCGCCTCTGTCTCCGAGATGGTCGACGCTGGCCATCGGGTCGTCTTTGATGCTGGCAGCAGCTACGCGCAAAACAAGTCGACAGGGGTGATTACACCGTTCCAGAGGCGCAACAACGCGTACGAGATGGAGATGGAGCTGATGCCGCGCAGCAAGGCGAAGGGCGCGATCGGCCGCGCGGAGGCCTGGTCCAAGCCCAGCGCGAGCGGCGAGAAGCAGAAGGATATCTGCATGGTGAGGAGCGACGACGCAGGTGATGGAGTTGGATCGAGTCCGGCAGTTGCGGCGGCAGCAGCAGCAGCAGAACCGGTCAAAAAACCTGTTCAACCAGAAGCGGTACCTCCACCACCTGCCCCGGTGGTTGCTCGGGGGCGGCCGGCAGTGAGAGCGGCGCGGAGACCGCGCGAGCCGACCCAGCAGGAGCGAGAGGACCATGAAGTGTCGCGCACGCCGCATCGAGCTTGGTGCAGGCACTGCGTAGCGGGACGCGGGCGAGCTGAACCTCATGTGACGAGGAGCCACGCGGAGGATGCGATGCCAGTCGTGGCGTTTGACTACGGCTACCTCGGCAGCGGCGAGGACGCGGCCCCGATTCCGCTCATGAGGGACTCGCTGCGCAGGTACACGGGCGCGGAGGCGTTGACCTGCAGGGGGTCGGCGCACGCGCGCAGCGCCGACACGCTAGCGAAGTTCGCGGTCAACGGCGGCTGCAAGAAGGCGGTCTTCAGGTGCGACAGCGAGCCGAGCATCATCGCCCTGAGGGACGTGGCCGTCAGGAAGCTCAAGTCCGACCACGGCGCGGAGTGCTTGCTGGAGACCTCGGCGGTTGGAGAGTCGCAGTCGAACGGTCTAGCTGAAGGAGCTGTCAGGGATATGAAGGGCCTGGCGAGGACTCTCAAGCACGCGGTGGAGGAGATGCACGGAGTCACGATCGGCCCGAAGCATCCGTGCCTGCCGTGGATGGTGAGGCACGGCGCAGCAGTCCACAATCCAGGTCAAGTGGACTCGGACGGGCGCGCGCCGTACGAGTTGAGGAAGGGGCGCGCTTACAAGAGGGCGCTCCAGGCGTTCGGCGAGAAGGTGTTCTACCTGCCAGTCGGCAAGAGGGAGTCGAGGCTGGTGGACAGCTGGCTGGAGGGCGTCTTCTACGGGATCCGCGACGACAGCGGCGAGGTGTACGTGGCGGCGCCGAAGGGCGTGATGAGTGCCAGGAGCGTCAAGAGGATGCCATTGGCAGCGAGGAGCGACAAGGCTCTTTTCTCAGAGCTGCAGGGCGCGCCGTGGCGACCAGTTCCTGGCCAAGAAGGTGAAGGACTTGAAGTGCCACCCGCTATGGCCAAGGTGGTGGCGGATCAGGTGGTGCCGGACGTGGATCTGCCCCCTGTTCCAGGACCTGTGGGTCCTCCTGCTCCGAGGAGGGTCTGCATCAGGAGGGGCGTGGAGCTGTGGCGCTACGGCTACACCCCAGGTTGCAGGGGCTGCGCAGCAGCTCGGGACAACCAGCGCGCGATCATGCACAACGAGGAATGCCGAACGAGGATCGAGAAAGCGATGGAGGGCGACCAGACGTTCGGCGGTGGAGCTCGGGTGGCAGAGGCTCACCTACGGCGAGTAGCTGGTGAGCGACCCGAGAGAAGTGAAGATGGAGAACCTGGGGCCAAGCGAGGACGAGTCGGTGATCGTGGACCAGTCGGTGAACCAGGGGCGCCAAGCTCATCTGGGACTGCGTCGGGAAGCGCTCCGGCGGCGGCGGCGGACGTGGCCATGGGCGACGCAGCGGAGATCGGCGCGCTGCTGGAACAGCTCGGTCTCGACAGCTTGGATTTGCAGGAGGTGTTCAACCCATGGGGAGTTCGCCATAGCAGCTCCACAGTTCAATCTGAAGCCAGGAGTGGCAATGGACCTCAGGACGGGCTGGGACTTCCGGCTCGAGGAGCAGAGGAAGCGAGCGAGAGCAGAGATTGAGGAAGAAGACCTTGCCATCCTCATCGTGTCGCCTGTACGCACCCCCTTCTCACAGCTGATGGAGTTGCTGAAGGCGAGCGGCAAGTGCGAGGAGGTCAAGTTTCAGAGGCTGCTCGCGGAGTGCAAGGTCTTCCTGGGCTTCTGTATGGAGCTGGCGGCCTACCAGCATTCGAGGGGGAAGTGGCTCCTGTTCGAGCACCCTTGGACGGCGTCAAGCTGGAAAGAGGAGTGCATCAAAAACATCAGGGAGCCGCCCGGCGTCATAGTGGCCAAGGGCAGCCAGTGTGTGTTCGGAGCCAAGTCACACTGGCCGGACGGCTCGGAGGGCCTCGTGGCGAAGCCGACGGGCTGGATGACGAATAGCCGCGAGGTGGCGAAGCAGGTGGGGATCGTGCGCGACGGCTCCCACGAGCATGTGCACCTCCTGGAGAGGAGGGCGAATGCGGCTGAGAGGTACCCCTTAGGGCTGGCGAAGGCAATCCTGAAGGGCATCAGGAACGAGCTGAAGATCGGTAAAGGGATCCATGCGTTCGAAGTTGGTCAGACCGCGGAGGAGCCAGAGATCCTGGACCAGGCGACCGAGGAGGAGATGGCGACCTTCTACGACGGGATCCGCGGTGCGGTGCTGGACCCGGTAGGCGTCAAGAACGCGCGCATGGACGAGATGGGCTACATGAGCAGGCTCGGAGTGTTTGAGAGGAGAAAGAGTTCCGAGGCGCTGCAAGTGACGGGAACCAAGCCGCTTCCAAGCGGCTGGGTCGACACCAACAAGGGCGACGATCAGAAACCAGAACTACGGAGTCGGTTGGTGGCGAAAGAGACGCGGAAGTTGAGCACCCTTGGGCCTGAGGACGCTGCGGCGACCTTCGCGGCGGCCCCGCCGCTGGAGGGCCTGAGGATGATTCTGTCTATGGCGATGACAGGGCGGCGTGAAGATCGAGTGCTGACCTTCATCGCATCTCAAGAGCGCATCTACGCTGGGAGCTGCAGAGGCCAGTGTACTTGAAGGCGCCAGCGGAGGATCTAGAGTGCTAGGATGACGAGTGCTGGCTGCTGCTGAAGGCCATGCATGGGATGAGAGATGCCGGCTCATCATTCGACCTGAAGGTGGGGGACATCATGGCGGGGGCCCTGAAGTCGAAGCAGGGCGAGTTCTCGCC